AACTTAGCAGCTTAAACAACATAGATTTATTATCTCACACTCTGTGGGGCAGGCACAGCTTAGCTGGGTCCTCTCCTTCACAGTCTCCTGTGAGGCTGCAATCAAAGTAGCAACCAGGGCTGGAGTCTCATTTGAGGCTCAGCTGGGGAAGGATCTGCTTCCAAATTCGCATAGTTGTTAGCAGGATTCAGTTCCTTGCAGATGTCAGACTGAGGGCTTCAGTTCCTTGCTGGCTGTCAGCTAGAGCCTGCCTTCAGTTCTTTGCCCTGCGGGCTTCTCCATATGGTGGCTTACTTCATCAAATTCAGCAAAGAACAGAGTCAAGAGACAGAGTCTGCTGGCAAGACAGAGGTTACAATATTATGTGATGTAATTATGGAAGTGATATTCCATCACCTTTGTTGTATTCTCTTGATTAGAAGTAAGTCACAGGCCCGCTTTCACTCAACTGAAGGGGATTACACAGAAGTGTGACTACCAGGAGGTGAGGCTAGTATAATAAGTAATTATATTTACTTATATACTTGTATATACTGTCTGCCGCAGTATATGTCTTGTAGAGTTAAAAAATGATAAAATAAGATAAATATTTACTCTTATTTGAAGAATTTGGATTTAACTTTGATTTCTTTTGGACTGATTTTGTTTTGTTTTGTTGTTTGAGATCAAAGGTATTTAGGTTGCAGGTACCAAGAATTTATTGTTTTAATGTAATATGCAAGGGTATGTTCCAAATGGAGGACCAGAATGGTCAGAATAAAACCATCTTACCTTGTTAGGAAGAGAATGACCATGAGGACTCACCTTCAAGCTTGGAAGTAAGTAGTTGTCACACAGGATCCTTGAATTCTTCCAAAAAGTTTTTACTAATAATTATTAACTAGTATTCCAACTCTCTCTCTCCCTGAATATATATATATTTCTTTGACTTAACCATACACATTTGACAGTTTTGCATATCAGTACACATAGAGATGTTTCATTTTTAAGTGGCCACAAAATATTGTATTAGGTTGAACCACATAAAATTGCTATTTTTTGTAGGTAAAAAATGGTCAAATATCAGCAGGTTCTTGTGGTTCAATCTAATATAAATGAATTGCAATTTATTTACCCAATTTCCCATTGATTTAAGCTGTTTGTTTCTAATCTTTTGCCAATATAATAATGTTGCTATAATAACTTTTTACGTGTTCTATGCGTACTTGTACTGATATGTCTTTAGGATAAAGATGTCGAACTTCCAGGTTAAAGGGTATGGCTATTTCAAATTTTGATAAAATAAATTGCCAACTTATTCTCCACTGAGGGAATACCAATTTACACTCCCACCAATGTTATCCGGAGCTCGTTTTCTAGAACCTTTAGCAGCACAGTATATATTTTTTCTTTATGTCATTTTGAGGCACAAAAATTTTCACAACTTGCCCAGAATTAGACTTAGAGACAGAGCCTGGTTTTAAATTTTAGGTTTACGTTTACATCATCCATCATTTGTTTTCTTCCCCACGTGTGTTTCTTGAGTTACACCAAAGTTTACTTCAAGCTAACATCTCCCAGATGTCCAGACCTACACTCACCTTTCATCTTCCTAATTTCTACATTTCCTAATCTAGAAACCTAATGTTTATTGTTGTTAATCTCATTGTTTTTTCCAGTGGTTGCATGGTGTTATCCTAAATTCCAGCTTGTTGAAGGCTGATACTATGTCAGGGTATCCCCACCCCCTTCCTCAGCACCAGAGGACAGGGCATTTGGCACAGCATCAAAAAATTATTTGTTTATTGTTTTATTAAATTAATTGATTTAAAAATTTATCATTCTTTAAGAGAAGGAGAGGTAATATTTATTGGGCACCTAGTGTGTGGTGCTGGGCAATATCCAATATGTCACATGATTTATTCTTCATGATAACCTTGCAAGCTGGCCATTATCTTTATTTAAAAAGAGGAGAGTGTGCAACATGGAGCGATTAAGCAACCTTCTCAAAATAACCCAGAGTAAGTTGCAGGCAGAACTAGTATTCAAACCAGCCCTTTCTGGCTCCAATACCAGTACTTGCCCACATCACAGGAGCTGCCTTCTGGGGCCGGGACTAGAAGGAGGCAAGTGAATTGAGTGAGTGCACCCTCTTGCCTAGGGTGCAAAATAAAAGGGAACCCAACAAACTCAGTAATCAAGATAAATAATTTTTTTTTGCTGAGGGAGATTAGCCCTGAGCTAACATCTGCGCCAATCTCCTTCTGCTTTATATGTGGGTTGCCACCACAGCATGGCTAACTAGTAGTGTAGGTCCACACCTGGGATCTGAACCTGCAAACCTAGGCCACCAAAGCGGAGCTCCCTGAACTTGACCACTAGGCCATGGGGCCAGTCCCAAGATACATAATATTTTAATGCAATATTTTAAAAAATCAAAGTTAATGCAAAACAATCTGTGATAAAATATTAGGTTTGTGTGTGTGTGTGTGTGTGTGTAAGACTGACCCTGAGCTAACATTTGTTGCCAATCCTCTTCCTTTTGCTTGAGGAAGATGGTTGCTGAGCTAACATCTGTGCTAGGTCTTCCTCTATTTTATGTGGGATGCTGCCACAGCATGGCTTGATGAGCGGTGCTAGGACTGTGCCCAGATTCCAGACCTGTGAACCCCAGGCTATCGAAGTGGAGTGCTCAGAACTTAACCACTACACCACCCAGCCGGCCTCCTAGAGATTTTGATCCTGTCTTCTCCCAACTGCAGGTTTGTCCTTCTAGCCTAACCTTTCAAATCTTTCTAGAAGCTCCAGATACAGAAGCCTGCTCTATTTCTCTGGCCACTTTGGTTGTCTTTCTCTGGATCTTTCCTAACTCCATGATCTTTCTTGGGTTATAACATGTAATACTCTACACATAGTACTTGTTGATTTTCACATGTTATCATATCTATGTGAAACTATGTATAGAACTGTAGAGTGCTAGCAGTGTGTCTTAGGGACTTCAGATTTAACCCAGCCCAACTCCTTCAATGTGCATGTCAGAGACAATGGGACTTAGCTAAAGTCAGCCTGGAAGTCAACAGGATCTGTCCATTTCCCTTCCACTGCAAGCAACTGGCCCCTGTCAGTCCGTATTCTGCTCCTGAGACAGAGTCCTGATGTAGCTCTTCTTAAAGAGTAAAGGAGCAGAGACAGCAGAAACCTACACTGCGTACTTGGGCCTACAGAGTTTGGCCAGTCCCTCTTTCATAGAGGTAAGTTCATCAGACTGCCAAAGGGCACACAGGAAGGACTTGCCAGTCCTCTTGTACAGAGAGCTGGAACTATGGTTCTAGCTACAGTTCTAGACAATGCTGTTTCATTCCCAATACCCTTTTCTGATGATACCCAAATTTTGCCGAACTCTTTGGAGAAAGTGTATATTGGTTCCTGTCTTTAGGGAGTGGTCTCCAGCTACTCTGAGCTTCCCTTCCTTGGCCAAGATGAATTTTGTCTAATGGTCAATGTTACTCAGAATGTGACTTCATGAACCCCGCCTGAAACTATGTGCAATTCGAATGTCTTGCCAATTATGTGAATTCAAGAATGTATAGAATTGGTAAAAGATAGTTTATATTTCCTAGAGGCTGGTCAAAGAGGAAAAAGTTCAGGAGATGTTCAGTATCTATAAGATTTTTGCATTTACCACTATTTTAAAAGGGGAGGGGAAAAGGTCAGCAAAAAGGTAAAAACCTTCTAACTGGGGGTTGCTTAAATGTCTAGTGGGCTCAGGCCTGTAATATAAATGAGTAAAGGCAATTGACAAGATGTGTAGGAGCAGTGAAGAACTCTCGAAAACATGCCTAATCTAAAGGGGGCGGCAGACATTCAGTGTCAGCCAATTGTTGTCATGTAGGAAGGCGGGTCCGATGTTGCTAGATCTGATTTTTCAAGAGAACTCAGAAATCTGGATTTTTATATAAAATTATCTAATTGTTTTGGTTGCTATTGGGTTTTTTGGGGGGAAATTATCTAATTTTTAAATGGTGGCAACAAATCCAAATTGGAAAGAAGGAAAGGAGGGAAACAGGAGGAGAGGAAAAACGAAAGAGAACCACCTGCAGGCCAAACAGAACAGCAATGCGGCCCAGAGTTTGCCGGTTTGTGACTCTTGCCTTATGCAGACTTCTTCCTTCCTTCCTGTCTTTCCCCAACAATTCAAGACGTATTCAGGGACTTCTTCAAGGTAGACTCGGAACTAGATCAAACACAGTCAGGATTTCCATTGCCCTGACAGTTCTGTAAATCTATCCATATAGTTTTTATTGAGCTCCTAACATTTGCAAAGTCTATCATTACATCTTGTTTAAAATGAAATATGTTAACAATTACATGAAACAGAGATACAACTTCCAGAATGGTCCAAATGACTCTGACGTATATACTTAACACTTTAGCTGTTTTAAGAAATATGATCAAAAATAAAGAGAATTGTTTTTAAAACCTACTGGAGCACTCAAGTTTTACAATTCACTTCTGAATTTAGAAGGTTAATAGGGAAGTTTCAGAACATCAGGCATCACTCTGTTGAAAAGTAGGGCTTTTTTTTTTGAGGAAGATTAGCCCTGAGGTAACTACTGCCAGTCCTCCTCTTTTTTGCTGAGGAAGACTGGCCCTGAGCTAACATCCGTGCCCATCTTCCTCTACTTTATATGTGGGACGCCTACCACAGCATGGCGTGCCAAGCGGTGCCATGTCCCCACCCGGGATCCAGACCAGTGAACCCCAGACCATCGTGGAACGTGGGCACTTAACTGCTGGGCCACCGGGCTGGGCCCGAAAAGTAGTGCTTCTAAAAGACTTCAAAGGCAACCATCCTGAAAATCTTTCATTGGAGTCAGTTTTGACTCTAAATGGTCTATACCTATAGAGGTCATCTATGACACCAAGCAGCATCCAAGTTCATACTAATTCTGAAAGAAAAAAAAAAGTTGGTAATCTTGTCAACTGATTAGATAAGAAGACACTGAACAATTCAACCTGGCTCAGGTTATCAACCGCTCATTATTACCTTTTAATATAAATGTTAAACAGTATACATGTATCCTACTTTCCACATGAGATTCACATCACTTCAATCACTGTTTTCCTCTCATGTTTTTCAGCCTGTGTCCATCTCTCTCCCCAGCCTACAATTTTCGCACATTTAAGGTATGCCTACTTCTGTTTCCACTATTTCTTCTGCTGTTAATCAGAGTCGAGACTCTTCAAAATTTTTAACTTCTTTGCTGTCTCAGATATTCTTCATACCCCTTACACTCTCAACCCAAGCCACCCCCAGCCCCGCCCCATTCTAGAACCTGGACTCTCCTCCACTCTCTATCCCGTATCTCTTGGCCTAAATAACGCCCTTAGCTACCTCCTCCCCAACCCCCGCCCGGATGTCCCTCCCCGGGCCGGCAGCCTCAGCCATTCCAGAAACTGACAAAGAAATTGCAGACGGAGCGCCACTCCTCAGCGCAGTAGGTCTCCGTGAGCTTCGCGTTCTCATCCAGTCCGTCAGGGTCGGGCCCGGTCCCCAGCGGTCGCTCCTCTTCGGGGTCCGAGGCCGCCTTCCTCTTGCCGTCTTTGGTCTTCTTCTCAGAGGGCTTCTCTTTGGGCGGAGCGCTCGGGGGAGGCCGGGCCCCTGCGGGAGGGCCTGGCGCGGGCTCCTGGGGTCGACCCTGGCTCCCGGCTCCGGGCTTGAGATCCCGGGGGAAGCTCCCCGCAGTGGGGCCGGCGGGTGGGGACGGGTAGGGCACCAGGCGCAGCTTGGCGCCGCGGCCCTTCTTGCCGTTGCACAGGCGGGCGGTGAGCGGCGCGGGGTCGTGGCAGGGCCGCCGCATCCTGCGCAGCCGGCTCAGCACCTGCTTCCAGAAGCGCCCGCGGCGCGCGGCGTAGGCGGCGCAGCTCTCCGGCTCCCCGCGGTAGGCGCAGTGCAGGCGCGTCCCGGCCGGGCCCTGGCAGCGCAGAGCCAGCTCGCTGCCGGCCGCGGGCCTCGGGCCGGGCAGCAGGAGCTGCCAGCTGCACGCGTGGCGCTCGGGACTGACGAAGCGGCCAGAGGAGGGGCCTGCGGGACCCAGGGCCAGCTCTGCTGCGCTGCCAGCGCGCCCCTTGTCCCTTCGGACGGCTGAGAGGACACAGCCGCCCAGCAGCAGCAGCAGCGAGAGCGACGCTCGCAGCCTCAGAGCACTCATGGCCCGCGATGTCTGCGCTCAGGTCGGCTCTTTTGGGACCCGTGGGCGCTTCAGTGACGGCAGGGCCAAGAGAGGGACATCCCTTGGACCTGCGGACAGAGGCAGAGACGGCGTCCGACTGAGCCAGGCGCAGCCCTTCGTTCGAGCCCATGCACCTGCGAATCCCCCTCCCCAGACTTTGTGAACACTGGTTTCCAGCAGGCAGCAACAGCCTGCGAGGACCCCCTCTGAAAAGTTTCCTGGGAGAAAGCCGCTTACTGTCTAAATAATCGTTTTGAAACTATTGGTGCTTTGAGGTTTTCTTCTCCGTGCCAATACGGTAGCAAAGCGATGCCTGATAATTACCACCTCCGCTCCTTCCTCCACCCTCTCCCTTCTCCACCCTCCAATAAACTTTCTTCAAAATCATTTCAGATTATCCTTCGGAAACATGCACTTTGAACTTACCGAGTTCAGGGAGAGGCAGCGAAGCCTTATTAGGGCGGAGGGAATGACTGCACGAAGGATTAGTCCGTTTCAGCTGGCTCCCAGTGAATGAACGTGTTATCAGTGGGACAGAAAGGGCCTCTCCCACATGCCCCTCCCAGATTTCTCTCGCAGTGGGAGATTTCTCACCCCTACGCCACACACGCATCCAAATGTCCGATGGAAATGGCAATGTAACATGAAATACAGATCTTGTATTTTGCTTCCAATGTTTAAAATAATCACGTGAATTTTAACAAATCATTCTTTTCTTTCCTTTTACAAATTTAATTATCCAAAAAGAAGTTAAACAAAGATCTAAGTTTTAAGAGAAACGAAATGAAACAAAACAGTTGTCAATATTCTAAACCAGGCACTATTTACCCTCTCTTTTTCATATCAGTCTGAGTTCTATATCTTCACCCATCATTGCCGACAGTCTTTCTCATCCTAACTTATCCTAATAAAAATATTACTACTAATAAAAATGTAATATCCTAGTTTATTAACATACCATGCTGTCCAGTAGTTCACCCAGGGGTGGGCATTTGGGCTTTTGATTATTTTTAGGTATTATAAATCAATTATAAAATTCTTACAAAAATTAGAAGTTTAAAAAATTTGAATTATAGTTGCAAGGTAATATTACCAATTTGAATAATTAATCTTTAAGAATTAATGTTCTTGAATCTTGAAAATTTTATATTTAAACAAAGCTTTTTTTTATACTACAGGATATTCTATCATCTTTTAAAAAAATGTTCTCAGTAATTTTTTTTATTTCAAGAGTTTATACCTCTGACTATAACTGTTTTATACAAGTATTTTCCTAAAATATTCCCCAAGATGTCAGCAAGTCTCATAATATTTCCTAATGTCTTCTTTCAGACAGTATTTTCTATTACTGAACTCTGATCGGTATTTGAACAGTTATAATTTGACTACTACTATAACAACCAAAATATTTTAGAATTAGGAAAATGTACTTAAATATGTTTTCACACATATTAAATATATAGTAGTGTATATTAACCTAAGAAAGGAAGTTTTTACCCCTCTGGTGAAATCAGAGAGATTAAATGACTTACCCAAGATCACACATGATTTAGTGATAAAGCCACAAGCCACTTGACTTTCAGTGATCAATGATCTTTACATTTCAGCTTTTTATTTCACAAGTATCACTTTCACAGTTAGTTGTGTCTTAGTTACACCAATTCAATTTATACTGAAAAACAATTAGTATCTATGAAGTTAAGAAATATTAACATGTGTCATAAACAAGAGTAGCTTATTAATACATTTCACAGATGGAAGCCTTTTCTTTCAGAAAACCATATTTGTATTAGCAAAGTGCTGATGAGTAGTTGCAGGCTTTTGTCTGTTGTTCTGGCCTTTACTTACTGTTATCAGCTACTGAACGAAATTGGAACAGTTTTTCAGCTAAAGAGTGACATCTTGTGACATTTTGCACTAATTACAATGAGAAGGTTTATTATCTGAAAAGTCACAATTATGAAGAGACCGTGCTGTCGGAAACATTATCCCCAGAAGAAAAATAAGGGCACACAGATGTGCTGTGCCATGTCAGGAAGGGGTACCTTTTTACCAGAAGTTACTTTTTGTAAATTGTAGTAAATTATACGTAACATAAAATTTACCATTTTAACCATTTTTAGGTGTACAGTTCAGTGGCATTAAGTACATTCATAGTGTTATGCAACAAACACCACCACGGATCTCCAGAATGTTTTTTGTCTTCCAAAATTGAAATTCTATTCCCATTAAACAATAACTCACTCCTCCCTTCCTCCACCCTCTGGCAATCATCACTCTACTTTCTGTCTCAACGAATTTGACTACTTTAGGTGACTTGTGTAAGTGGAATTATAGAGTAGTTTTCCTTTTGTGACTAGCTTATTTCACTTGACATAATGTCTTCAAGGTTCATCCATGTTGTGGCATGTTTCAGAATTTCTTTCCTTTCTAAGGCTGAATAATGTTCCAGTGTATATATATATATATACCACATTTTATTTATCTATTTATCTGTCGATGGACACTTGGGTTGCTTCCACCTTTTGGCTATTGTGAACCCTGCTGCTATGAACATGGGTGTACAAATAACTGTTCAAGTTCCTGCTTTCAATTCTTTTGGGTATATACCAGAGGTGGAATTGCTGGGTCATATAGTAATTCTATTTTTAACTTTTTGAGGGAACTCCATACTGTTTTCCATAGTGGCTGCACCATTTTACATTTCCACCAACGGTGCACAAGTGTTCCAATTTCTCCACATCCTTGACAATACTTGTTATTTTCTGATTTGTTTGTTTGTTTGCTTGGTTGTTTTTGTTTTTATAATAGCACCCTAATGGGGATGTGAAGTCTATCTCATTGTGGTCTTGATTTGCATTTCTCTAATGATCAGTGATATTGCACATCTTTTCATGTGCTTATTGGCCGTTTGTAGATCTTCTTTGTAGAAATGTCTATTCAAGTCCTCTGTCCAATTTTTAACGTTTGTTTTTTGTTGTTGTTGGGCTACAGGAGTTCTTTACATATTCTGGATATTAAATTGTTATCAGATTTATGATTTGCAAATATTTCCTCCCATTCTGTGGGTTGCCTTTTCACTCTGTTGATAGTGTCTCTTGAAGCCCAAAAGTTTTGCATTTTGATATAATCCAAAGGGAGACACTTTAAAAATATCATGATGTAAGATGTGTAAGAAAACATGAAACATATACCCTAATATTGATTTTTTTCCTGCTTTTTCTCCCCAAGTCCCCTCAGTATAGAGTTATATATTTTAGTTGTGGCATGTGGGACACCACCTCAGTGTGGCCTGACGAGCGGTGCCATGTCCGTGCCCAGGATCCGAACCAGCAAAACCCAGGGCCAACGAAGTGGAGGGTGCGAACTTAACCACTCGGCCACGGGGCCAGCCCCCAATATTGATTTCTTAAAAAATAATCTTGTTTGCATCAGTGATACAACAGGCCTGTTTGGATTCATACCATATACCACCTAATAGTTTAGAATGGGGCGACATTTCTCGATAGTTTCAATGATTGACTGCTTAGTCCTGCGCTCTGAATTCTGCAAGGGAAAAATCTTATCATAAGGAACAGAGTCTATGGGGCACCTCCTTCCCTTCTTATCCTAGAGGAGGTTAGCTGCAGCACCTGATCCAACAAAGTTCTACAGTGAGTGGGGCGGAGTAGAGGCCTCCTGCCTGTTGTTTTCTTAAGACTACATAATTCTTCCTGCATGTAAAATCAGCTTTGTACAGTTTAATATTCAATTTTTTTGTTTCATGTGTATTAGCCTAATATCCCAAATTAAATCATAAGCTTTTTTAGACAAGAATAAGTTTTTTTATTTCTTTTGTACCTAAGACAGTGCTCAAGGAGAAAAGTAGATTACCTGAACTCTCATACATTGCTGGTAGGAGCATAAAATGGTACAATCATTTTAGAAAACTGTTTGACATTTCCTTATAAAGTTAAATACACATCTACTCTATGATCCAGCCATTCTACTCCTAGGTATTTAGCCAAAGTAAATGAAAACATATGACCACAAAAAGATGGGTACAAGAATGTTCATAGCACCTTACTCATCATAATAGCCCCAAAGTGGAAATGACCCAATTATCCACCAGCAAATGAATGGATAAACAAATTGTGATACAATCTGTTTATTACTCAGCAATAAAAAGGAATGAATTACTGCAACATGCAACAAAGTGAATTCATCTCAAAACCATAATGTAGAGCAAATGAAACCAGACACAAAAGAGCGCATATTGTATGACTGCATCTATATGAAGTTATAAAAAAGCTAATTGACAGTGAAAGAAAATCAGAAAAGGACTGCCTCAGGGAGATGAATGGGGGTTTGTATTGACAAGGAAGGGATATGAAGGAAGTTTCTCCAGGTTATGACAAGTATCTTGGCAGAGGTTTGGGTTACACTTAAGATTTGCGTATTTCACTGTATGTAACTTTTACCTAAAAAAGAAGCCAAACCTGTAAACAATTATTAAGCCCAACTTAATCACATCCATGCTGAATAGTTTAGGGGTGAAGTTCTGATGTTTGCAATTTATTCTTAAATATATAAAAAAATAATATAGATACGAATAGACAGAAATGAGTAGTAGACAGTTATGTGATAAAGCTAATACAGTAAAATATTAATTGTAGAAGCCAGGTGGTAGGTATACGGGTGTTCACTGCATAATTTTTTTCAATGACAGTATTTTTGAAAAATTTCATAATAAATGTTGGAAAAAATAGAAAACAAAAATATAATTTAAAAATTATATCCCTACCATTAAGAATTAACATATATTAATACCTTGTCATATTTGCGTTCCACAATTTTTTAAGAAAAAAATGTCGCATAACTCTTCTATTTCCATTACCCCTCTCAAATCCCATTTTCCTCCCCACTCCACTCCCACCCAAGGGTAATCAGCTTTTTTATTCTAAGTTTGGGGTATATTCTTTCAATCCACTTGCAATAATTGTATACTTGTTTATGCACATACAGGTAAAACGCATGTCAAGTATAGTCACTGCAGCTTTATTCAGAATAAGGAAAAATTTGAAAAACCTAAATAGCAATAGAGTAGAGAAATTCAGTAGAGAAATGAATAAACTATGGATTTTTTATACAATGGAATAGCTCTTGAAAACACAGTTAACTAATTCATTAATTAAAAACAAGCTTATATGATACTGTTTATTGTTTATGGAACACCCATGTAGCAAAATGATAAAAACATGGACAGGAAGTAAAACACAAACTTCATAATAACAGTTATTACTGGGAAGGTAGGGAGGGGAATGAGATTAGAGAGAAGTAAAAGACCTCAATTTTATCTTTAAGTTTTTGAAAATTTATCTGAAGCAAATATGGTAAAATTTTAATAGTTGTTAAACGTGGGTGCTAAGTATATGGATGGATTTTATTCTCTATATTTTTATGTATGTTGGAAAGAATTCATAATTTTAAAAATACAAATAGTATTGCTTTGTGAGTATAGTTTTTACAATTCATAGAAATTGTATGATATTGTAAATATTGTTCTGCATCTTGCATTTTTTACTGAATTTATGGTTTTGAGCTTTGTTCATATTGGCATATGTAGATCTAGTTAATGTTGGGCTGTTGATAGCCCATTGTATGACTATATTATATTTGATTTATCTATCACCCTACTGATGGACATTTAGGTCATTTCCAGGTCTTCTCGATGATAATGAATGCTGCAGTGAACACCCTTGTAGAGATCTTTTTGTGTACAAGAGTGTTTCCCTAGACCTGTCACCTTTAAATTGGAGTATATGTATCCAGGAGGACACCCAAAAACTTCTTGAGAAGTGTTTAGGCCTGTATAGATTTTTTACAAATTTAATTTCAAGATCCACAACCTCTACGTGCGTGCTTTCCTCCATGTGTTTATCTCAACTACAGGCCTGGGTATAGACCAATGTTTGGGGTACTATGCTGGTTCTCCTTTGCCACCTCCTTTCACAATTGCTCATTTCTCACTTGACTAC